AGTCACATCATAGGAGTACAAATACTGGTTTAAAACACATATACTTAAGAGGTCCCTCACCTTTGCCCTGGCCAGATCCTCTCCCCTCCGGTCTGGGCCTCGATCAGGTGGTCGCAGTGGATGGTGAGGGCACGGCCACCCTGGGCAGGCCGCTGCTGATGAACTGCAGCATGGCCATCTGGGCCGTGGCGTCCTGCATGGCCACGCGGTCGGGCCGCAGACGCAGGTACGTGCGCCCGCGGTCGATCTCCTGATTCTTGGGGTCATCGAGATGGCCGTACACGATCTTCTCTGACAGGGTGAGGGGCCGGTTGAGTCTGGAGAAGAGATATTAAATCACATTTAGTTTATTGACATTTTTGTTTTAGCTGACTGGTTTTCTATTTATTTATTTGTTGTTTGTCTGTTTTTGTTTGTCTGTTTGTCTTCTGTCTGTGGGATTTTGTTTGCCCTGGTGTTAAGCAGTATTTACATTGTTACTCTACCTATTTCTCTATAAAGTGAAGATTTGTTTACCTACTTTTTATACATGCTCTGATAGAATAAATGTATGCTGTTGAAAAAAACCCAATAAACTAAGTTTAAAAAAAAAAAAAGTGAGTTTTTTTTTTATTATTCACTTGTTTTTAAATCTAAGTTTTCTTTTTATAATTAGTTACTTTTTTTCTTCTACAAATTAGATAGCAGCTAAAGAATGAAGTAGTGAGAATCTGGGGGTCAGGCTGACTAACAAGAGCTTATAAAGCTACAACTTTGGTGAAAAACTATGGTGTTCAAGGACAGACAAACACCAGACATCAAACAATCACACAGAGAAAGGAGTGTTCGGAAAAGACTACGAGTTGAACCAGAGCAAATAAATATCAGATTAGGAGCAGACTGACCTCGATCGCACAATGTCAATGTTGGATTGGAGCCGCTCGTAGTTGATGAAGGAAGTGGGCTCAAAGCGACTCATAGACACTTTGGCGTTGGCTCTGTACGCTGCAGATATATGCAGGCGCCGCGCACCATTACCCAGCACCAGCTGAAGACAGGAACAACAAGAAAAACACAAGGATGAGCAAATCAATCATTCAAGGTAATTCAAGAGTCAAAACATACATTGGAAATCTAATTATGGGTTCATTCACAAAAAGAAATAGGCTGGTTAAAGTACTTTATATTTAGGTTATGTGGTATTTTTACAAGTTGGGATGCTCAGATTTAGTTTGACTTATGTATTACTGGAGTTTTTTTCTATGGCTCTGGTTTTCCACAACACCATACAAGGCCAGCTAAAAACAGTAATTCAGTACAATGTCATTACCTAGACAACATGTCATTTCCCAAGCCTATAAACACATTGCTTATTATGTCGATTTCAGTAGAAAGTGATCTGATTTTCTGGTATCTTTCTCCTACATTATCCAGCTCAATTTAGAAATTAAACTCAGGTAGACTATCCCTCAATTAGACCTCCAATTGATTCAGATATAAGAAGATTTAAACACCTAGTCATTATTGTGTTAGGTGTAATAAAACGAGTCAAATCTTAACAGTAAACTGCTGGCTGGACATACGGATGAAGAAGTACTCAGATCTTGTACTTGAGTAAAAGTAGAAGTATCAGAGTGTAGGAATACTGTCACAAGTAAAAGTCCTGCATTCAAAATGTTACTCAAGTACAAAAGTATCAGCATCAAATCCCATTTGAAAATCATACATCAAAAGGGTAGCTAGTTTTAATCACTTTACATGTTGTATTTAAATACATTTTTTTGTAAATGCACAGCTCTGCATATGACACACCCTGTTGACACATCATGCTGAATGAGAAAACCTTTCCAATAGAGCATGTGCAACTACATAAAAAAAGAGAAACTCTTTGTTTGATATAAAAATCTGTACATTAAAATATACATGTTGCTCGCCTGAGTGCCTGCTGAGAGCTCTAACCTTGCGGTTAACCTTGCTATTTAAACCCTAAACTCAATTTATCGATCTAACCTAGCTGTGAACCTATAAGATCTGTTTGTGAAGATGGTAATTCAATACAAACAGAGGCATTAGCTGTTATTTTATTAGGCTGGTTTTGGTTGTTTTCCATTGAGGACACGGTGACCTGGGCAACCAACCGGTGACCGTTACTCTCTCATTTACCCTTACAAATCCCTCTAACAGCTTTAAAAAGGCCAGGTAACCACTACAATTAATACAATAAATGTTAGATAGTAAGTGACATCCTTAAGTGGCTTATGATTATGGTTGAATTTGCTAATTTTCCTCTCTTACCTGGAGCCGGGCGGCAGTTAGACAGTAGGTTGCCATTTTGTTCACTGACAAAGATGTGACGGCCGGTTGTGACGTCACAGCTTTGTAAACCGGCGGTCTCGCAGGTCCTTAACGGGGGAAAAAATAAATTCTAGTTTAGTAATTAATTTACATTATTTACAACATTTAATTTAGACGTAGAATCGACTCAATGACTTAATATTATTTTCATATTTGAAATAATACAAATAATAACATTTGATTCATGCAATATAAAATTGTAATGTTGGATTAAGTTGTATAGACCTGTAAGGATGTGGATCGTTTTAATGTTTTAACATTTTTAATTTAGAAAATAAATATTTTAGGCACATCAATATTTGAATGACATCAATCATTATCCTATTATTTAAAAAAGGAAAAAAGTATATATAATAAGTAAGATATTATTAATAATCTTTGTCATGTATCTATATTGCAGCCGCTAGGTGGTAGTAATGAAAAATTCCCACACTCAGTTCCCCGATCAAAGGTGGAAGTTGAACCAGCAGCGCTATCCTTACGTTTCTTACGTTAGACCACAATGGCTAAACATCATCCAGATTTGATTTTTTGCCGAAAACAAGCCGGTGTCGGTATGTTAAAACCTCTTTAATTTCATGCACTGTCTTACGTTTGTATCTGTGTTGAAGCCTGGTGGCTTATATTGTTGTTAAACTCGTGCTAGCTTCCATGCTAACAGTAACAGCATGGATTTCATTGAAAGAACGTTAGCAATAATGTTAGCTTTAAAACTTCTACCTCACTAATATTAATGTTATTGTTACAGTTATGACTTCAGTGTAGTTAATAAAGACTTTTACTGTAATTATGTGTAAAGAATATTCACTCTAATCCAACAAAGTGATGTGAACTAAGTCTAACCCTGACTGTCTCTGCTTTTATTCCACAGCTATTGGGAGACTTTGTGAAAAATGTAAGTGTTTCCTCCTTTAGTTAATTTCATAATTAAATATTTTTTCTAAGCGTATGGTACATATTTAAGTATGCTGTCATATTTGTCCTCACTTGTGTATCTGTTAAAGTAACGTAAGTTCTACATTTGTTGAGAGAATTCACCTATAAAGCTGAAAACAGACTTCTAGATTCCTGTATTATGCAATTAATTACTTGAATATTAAAGAAATTCTCTATCAATGAACCTTTAAATAACATTAACAACAACAAGTCATCATTACTGTTGTGTCAAACCAATTCATAGCTTATTACGCATACCCTTTTTTACATTGCATTTGTGTTCTTTATATTCATTTTTAAGTGATTATTTTGATGCACTGATTCGTTTTTATCGTAAAGTTTCTCATTATTTTGATGTATTAAGAGAAAGTGGTCAATAACCACAATTATTTCCTTTTTCATCACAAAGCTATAATTGTATTTCTGTAATCATTGTAATTAAATACATCTGCATTTAATGTAACATTCATTTAGTTGCTGTTTCCACAACGGCAAAGGATGTGTTATTCTTGAAATACTATTATTCTTGAAAGTTATTATTTGTTGTTGTTCCAAAAAAATTCCTTACTTCAAAAGTTGAGCAATGTTCTACTTTTGAAGCTTTGGCGGAAGCGTCAGCCAATCGAATCATATGCCAGTACAAGCTCTAGCCAATCAAACCGCGTGCTTGTGTGTCCATTCATGTGATTGGTTGTTGGTCGGGTTTCAGCCCCCCCCGCCGGCAAGCGACAACGCACGCCGCTGTGTGGACGGGCTGTTAGTCTATCACTGGCTTTACACTAGAGGACTTTGTTTTGGTGTTTATTGTTCTAGAAAGTTGCAAACAACATTAGCCACTTGTCTCATGTACATAAACTACAGTATCATCTGCGTACATTTGGATGTTTGTGTTGGGACAATTTACATTTTTACTTATTTGTTAGACTTCTAGCTCAAAGCACTTCTGTATCTCTGAACAGAGCTGCTATACAAAATCAGTAGTTCTTGAATTTGTCATCATTTGGGAGTTTAAGGAACTATTTCAGTGGGAGCATTTCTTCTTCTACTTACAATTCAGCAAAGTGTCGAGTTCATTTTGAAAGCTGACAATTGTGACTCACGACGTACAGTGATTTTGTGACGTGCACCTCATTCAACCTTGGAAAAAGAACATTTAATGGCGGCATAATAACCGTTTAAGGAGACGTCAATCATGACTTAGAGATTTTGCAGTTATTTAGTCATTCAGCCTCACCTCTGAAGCACGTCTTTGTCTAATAGGCCGGTCTTTTGGACTTGAGGATGTGGAAGTTGGTAATCTCGTTCATATTGGCCCCAGGTGCGGCCCATTTTCAGATTTCCCGTGTTGCATTATGGACAAAATCATGATGAGGCCAATAAATGATTGATAATTGGAGGGTAAATGGAGTACTATGAGAAAAACTCATGTTGGTTAATTGGATGGAGCTTAATTCCCATTTAGTGGCGTGTTAGTTACTCTGCAGAATGTGTGTGAGTGTGTGTGTGTATGTGTGTGTGTATGTGTGTGTGTGAGTGTGTGTGTGTATGTGTGTGTGTATGTGTGTGTGTGAGTGTGTGTGTGTATGTGTGTGTGTTCGATGGGAAAACAGCCAGAATCACGCCTTTGGGGAAATAGATCTGAAGACAATTAGCCTCAAATGATGGCAGCGCTCTTTATTTCACATTAACACTAACGGTTGTCTGATGCCTCGTGCTGTTGAGTTTAAATCACACGAGGAATTAGTCAACGGCTCTGAAAAAAGTTGTCGGTTTCCGTCTCTTTGGACTAAATTCAGCGAGGTGACTCACTCGTATTTGTTTGTCAGACTGTGGAGGTGGGAAGGAAAAAGCCTGAGCCTCATTATTTCCAACATATCTACTGTTGCATTTAGTTATCCGTGACCTTTACTGACCTCTGAGAGCGGCAGGTATTTATAGAGCGGACAGAACGACCTCCTCCACAAGTTTCAGGGTGTCAATTAAAGCTAATTGGATCACATTTTAAAAGTAACAGCTGAGAGGACTACGCAGGTTAATTAAGATATCATTTAATTTGATGCAATTACATCCATCCCCAGTCCATGATAAAGATTTAATACACGAAATACTTTAAGAGCTGTAATATATTCATCATCCTTGGGCTGAGCCATTAAGTGATGTTGCTGTGTTGGTATTTTATCTATCAATTGGTATTTCCAGGGACAGTAAATCTAAGGGTAAGTTTTATGAGCTGAATGAAGACATCTTGGTTGTTTTCTGTTCATGTTGATGTTTAAGGGCAATAAAACCTTTGGATTTCGCAACTGATTCAAGTTAATAGACTGGTGGGGGAATGGACCGAAGATGAAAGATGCAAACAACGGTCCAAAACTTCCATTAGGATAAAAAAAGCTTCAGAAAGGATGCAGATATAAAAACCCAAAGGTTCCACATGAAGAAACATCTCCAGCAACTTCACAACACATGCAGCATTTAGAGAACATTCAGCAACTTGAGGAGACATGCAGCATTTATTAAAAGCTGCAGAAACCAAACGCTGCAAGAAGCTCAAACACAACGGAGACCAGGGGACACTAAAGAGTGACGCACACAGCTGGGAGACCAGGGGACACTAAAGAGTGACGCACACAGCTGGGAGACCAGGGGACACTAAAGAGTGACGCACACAGCTGGGAGACCAGGGGACACTAAAGAGTGACGCACACAGCTGGGAGACCAGGAGACACTAAAGAGTGACGCACAAGGATGGGAGACCAGGGGACACTAAAGAGTGACGCACACAGCTGGGAGACCAGGGGACACTAAAGAGTGACGCACACAGCTGGGAGACCAGGGGAC